CGACCCGTGCGCACGACTTCTCCTTTGTCCCTTTACGCGACCCCGGGTCGACTCCTCGAAGAGGATGTCTACGTCGCGATCGCGACCTCCGCCGTTGACGGCGACCCCCTGGTCCCCCTTCGGCGGTCCCTCCTAGTCCGATTCCGGGCTCGTTCCCCGTGGATGCCGTCCGGTTCTCGAGTCCCGGCGACATGTCGCCGTATCTCGCGTCCGGGCGATCGGACATTGGCGGCGACCCGTTCCCCGAGTGTACCGGGTCTCAGTCAGCGTGACCCGCTGTTCTTTACCCGTGGATGACGCTCGGTTACCTACTTGACCTCCCGGTGGTCGTGTCGCGTTGTTCCCCCCGGGCCTGCCGACGACGCCGACCCCTCCTGACACCTAATCCGTACCTGGTACAATGCCTTCCGCGGCTCTTCCCCGCGGAAGATGTCCAGGTCGCGAGATGACGGACGGTCCTGTAACTCTGTCGCTGGCTGTCGGATTTTGTCGGCGATCGGATATGGACGATCTTAGGGACCTTCCCGTTAGTCAGGGACGTATTCTCTTACCGCCGTGCCGTCGGTTCAAAAGTTTCCCGACGGTCCGCCATCTTTTTTATCTCTGGCCAGATTTCGATTCTGACCCGCGTGTCGTACTTCGCGGATCTACCTTAACGATCAGAATTGTTTATTTGACGCGCGTGTCGCTTAATTACTAAAATTACGGGCGGTTCGTCCATTTCGCTAGACGACGTCTTTCCGCCCCGTGAGTCGTCACGGCTCGTACGTCATATTCTCCGAACGCGTCCCGATCATTCGCGCGAGCGCCTTCCCTGTCTCGCAAGTGTGAGCGGGCTCAAGCCCTGTTGCACCGCCGCACGAACTGCTGTATCCGCACCTTCGGGATTGGACTCGGAACTGCCTAACTGAAAATTAAACAACCTTATGCCTACTCATGCGCTGGATGTGGTCACTCTCCTTACTCCTAAGTCGTCAGAATAAACAAACAAAAATCGATAGCGGCTGCTGCTTGTGACCCCATCCTCGGAACGCGAACGCTGTACTTAATGCTAATTTGGACGTGGCTCCGCCTCGTCCATCTCGGGAGCGCTGCTGTTGGTGCCCTTGTCGTCTCCTGTGATGCGTGCGGCTGCAAACTCCCCGTCAGGCCCGAGCGTTGAGTCTCGTCTAGCTCGGGGCTTTGCCTTTTCTCGCAGTTGCGCGCATCTCGAATGGAGGCGTGCCTTTGCCGGTCTTCGATGTTAGTTACTGTTTCCCCTCCGTCGCGTAGGGGTTTCTGACATTGTGCGAGCGCTGAATGCTCGCTGTGGACTGGTCCCAGCCTACTAGCGCCTCGGTTGGCGCTTTGATTTGCCCTTCTATCGCCACTGAGTCCGTCCTGGTCGTCGTTGCCGTTGACTTGGCCTCGTGACGGTCCATTTGGGTTGTCCCCTGGTAGCTGGGACGTGACTGGGAAGCGTGCGGTTGCATGCTCCCCGTCAACTCTGTGCCTAGGCTCGCGTCCAGCACAGAGTTCAGCCTCGACTGACGGCGATCCGCTTGCTTCACCTTTCGCCACTCGCGCCGACGCTCCTCCCGTCTTATTCTAGCCCGCCGACGCCTCTCGTCACACTTTGTACTCGCCCCCGGGTTCCGCTCCATCTCCCGAAACCGTGACCGTCCGCGCGAGCAACTTAATTCTGCTCCCGCAGCGCACGTCAGTTTCGTCCCAGGGTTGTGGGTACTCGTCTCATTCGTCTTCTCCTCGCCGATAACCCTCGGTCGTCCGTACAGCTGTTCGTATATACGCGAAACCTGCCTTCGCTCACTGTCCGCGCGTGATCCACCGCTGCATCCGCCGTTCTGGCTCCCCTCACTCTGGCTCATAGGATTCATCTTCGCTAAAATTGCACGAAGTTGTGATCGCCGGGTCGTTTCCCGATCTACCGCACTACACGACCCGGTAACCCGCGCGCACTCGTCGTCCCCGCGTCCGCGCTCGATTTTCACGATTGCGTCCGACACTCCGTCCCGGTTATTCTCAGACTTATCTTCCTCTGAGCCACTGTCGCGGATCACTTGACGCCTCTTCCGACGTTGGTTCTTCACGCACTGAGATATTCGCCAACGCTTTCGCACTCCGGTCGCTTTCTTCTTGGTCTTCCGATGTTGCGTACTGGTCCTCTTCCGCGTCGACCGTTGAACTCCCCCGCGTCTTTTCATCCGTCCCTGCATCGGTCTGGGCGTCGGGGATCTTTCATATAAGATTTTGATGGAAGTCTCCATGTTCGCCGATGTATTCTTCATATCTTCCATTGATGTATCTTCGTTGTTTGCCTGACGCTCGGGCGCCACCGGAATCAGCATCACTTCGTTCAGAATGACCGAGCTTGCCTTTTCGTATTGGCCATCCTCCGGGTTGCGGTATATTACTTGCATCTT